ACAGTATATTATAATACATTATAATATGATATGTTATGATGTGTTTTTATTTCACAGACTTCTATAACTTTAACTATCCACTGAATAAAACATACATGTCAAAAAATATATCATAATTTAGCATTGTTGGTTATACATGGTTTTCAGCTTACATGGGAACCTTTGGAATGAATTGTGGGGTTCTTAATGTGTAGTTTTGTCATTACTCCGATGACAACCCACTTCTTCAGAACAGCCATGGTTGCTGTGCTTGGCCAGTTAGGTAGCACGGTGCGCGCCGGTAGGGAGAGAGGTTAGTTACGGTGAATGGACTGGCCGCAATGCGGCCGTGGCTGGAGGTTGCTTGGTTGCCATACGGCAGCGTGAGTTGGAGGTTGCTTGATCGCAGCGCGGCGGCTGCTGGTGAAAGGCTAGTCATTGAGCGCGGTCATAGGAGTTATGAGGCAGTGGCTACGCCAGATGCCCAGTGGGTCGGACAGTAACACGACCACCGGCGAGTCCAGGCGCGGTGCCCCAGTGAGTCGGGTGTGAGAGCGCCGGAGAGCCGAGGCAGTCGTGTCTGGCGCAGCCTGCCAATGCTTCCGAAGACCGAGCGCTGGCGACGAAGCCTGCTGGCTGGTGTTGCTTGATCATAGACTGAAGTCAACTGATAATTCACCATTGGAGCTGCCCATTTTTATACACTGCTCGGTGGGCGGAGCGAAACTCGAAATTGAGGAGGAAGAATTGATTGGTTAGCGCGCGTAATGACGCAGATGCGGGCTAGCAGTGAGCGCAGTATAAATGCGAACGTTTGAAGCAATCTGATTGGTTAGCGTGCGTGATGGTGAAAAGTGATGTGAAGAGCGAGCGTGGGATGTGGGATGTTCCCGCAGAATTAACCATGGAAGTTGAGGGCTTACTGTACTATTGATATTTTACTGGCTCTTTATTTGAAATGCTGGAATTTTGTTGTGAAGTTTGAATTATTCTGTTTAACATAGTGTGATTTGTATATTGGGTCTTGTGTTCTTGTATAGTGTGTTTTGTATATTTAATATACCTTTCACTGTGCAAATATGAGTATATAAACAGCAGTTTTGTTAACTGTGTATGTATTATTAAAAATTTAACATCTGTTGGACAGTATCAGGTACCATGGTAGACTCGCAGCACAGTGCTGCATCTCACCGTCGTGGTTCTACACAAAGTGATACAAGTGCTTTAGTAAGCAGCCTCACTCGTGACTTGTCCCAGTCTCCCAGTGGATGTACAACAACAGCCAACACTCGGGACCTGTCACCAAGTCCCAGCAGCAGCTCTCTACACATGCACTCAGAGGGCAGTCCAAATAGCACACCTGGCACACCTAGGAAGAATGAACAAGTGTGTTAAATTGACTGTGGATTCTTTGAAATAGTTAATTTTTACAGTCCATCATTTCTATGGATATCATGCTGTATTGTATTAATGTGTTTTGGTATTTAGTAACCATTTCAGTCATAGTTTTCTTATCAGATGATATCTGGCCTGTTAGTAAACCTTTACATTATTTAATATTTTCCTAGACAATTTTTTGTGCTGTAACTGCAGCCAAAGAAATCTGCTATGTTCTTGGCCTTCACACAGATCTCTGGCATTTGGCTTTGGTTACAGTTTAATTTTGGGCAGTCTTTTTTCTTTTGCTTAATATGACTGAACCACTAATGTACATGGTGCAATCCAAAAGTTCCCGAAATATATTAATAAAAACTATTACATCTTACCTAGATCTTATTCTGCGCCATCACCTTCAAAGTAGTCCCCTTGGGAGTGCATACACCGATCCCAGCATTTCTGCCACTTTTCAAATGCATCCTGGAAGTCTTTCTTTGTTAGGGCGTTTAGTACCGTCTGCGTTTCTGCTTGAATTTCCTCAACTGTATCAAATCTTCGCCCCTTCAACTTGATTTTCATCTTGGGGAAGAGAAAGAAGTCGCATGGAGCTAAGTCTGGCGAGTACGGTGGGTGGGGAACAACTGCCATCTTGTTTTTAGCCAAAAATTCCTGCACAATGTAAGCCGTATGCGGTCGTGCGTTGTCATGGTGGAGTACCCAGTCGTTCGTGCGCCACTTCTCTGGATGTTTTCTCCTCATGTTCTCCCTCAAACGCCTTAGAATATCGTGATAGAACTCTTTATTGACTGTCTGACCAGGAGGGACGAACTCCTTATGAACAATCCCGTCAATATAAAAAAAACAGATCAACATGGACTTAATGTTGCTCTTGACTTGTCGAGCTTTTTTTGGCCAAGGTGAAGAAGGGCTCTTCCATTGCGACGATTGCTGCTTGCTTTCAGGGTCGTAGCCATAAACCCAACTTTCGTCACCAGTGACAACCTTTGAAAGAAAGTTTGGATCCTCTTGAAGCTGTTGTAGAAGTTCCCTGCAGAGTTCCAAGCAATGCTGCTTCTGTTCATTTTGTAGCAGTCGTGGCACAAACTTCGCCGCCATCCTCCTCATGTTCAGTTCCTCTGACAAAATTCGTTGACATGTACCATAACTTAGTCCCAAGGTGTTACAGAGGTCTTGGATGGTCAGTCTACGATTTTACAGAATCAGATACATAACTTTCGCCACATTTTCTGGTGTTTTGCCCTTTGACGGCCATCCCGAACGATCGTCATCATCAGTCAATGTTCGGCCATTTTTAAAACACTTATACCAGTTGTAAGTTTGTGTCTGGCCTAAACTGTTTTCAACAAAAGCTTGCTTCAACATTTGGTGCGTTTCTGCAGCGGTTTTCCCAAGTTTTAAACAAAAATTTATACAGACACACTTCTCTCTCAGGTCAGCCATTGCAAAACCGCAAATTCACAGAAACATAACAATGGAAATACGTTCACCAACAATAAACCCAACCACTCAACTCGACGCCACTTGCCACACTGATTCAAGAAGGATGTGTGAGGAGACACCTAGCGGCATTTCGATGTACTCATAACCATTCGCACGCAAAATTCAAATTTCGGAAACTTTTGGATTGTCCCACGTATATTTATTTTCAAATCATCGTGTAGTTTATCTGTTTGTATTCTGTTGATATTTCCAAATTATCAAGACTCTTTGTTCAGTTTTCCCAGTTAATGTTCTTAAGAACTTAATTTTGTTTGTTTGAATTTTACATGATTCATTTTTTTATAAGATCCCTTGTCTCTGCTTTATATGTTTCAACAAATTATACAGTGAGTTTTTTGTATATGCAAGAGTTGGGCATTCCTGCAGTAAAACGTCCAGGCCCCAAACCTTCTCAAGATCCTGCAGCCTGAGCATATTACAAATTAAAACCTACCTAGATTATGCTGGATGCTATGAGTGATATATGTTCTTTTCCATCGATTCCTGGAACCTCTATAAAAGTTTGAATACATGCATTTAAATTCTTCTTGGGAAAGAGAATTTTCCTTTGGATATTTTCCTTCATTCATCAATGGTATGAGGGTTTGATCGGTAAACATGTTGTTTTATAGTCGCCATAAAGAAGAGTGACATACGAAGATTGAAGTTGGGAGAATGTGCTGTCCACAGACCACTGTTAATAAGTCTATCCTAAAACGCTTCTTTTAAAGTGTCCATGGATGCTGTATGAGCAGGAGTGAGAAAGAATGCATGCCAGCATTCATTATGTTTTAGCTGCTCAGAAATTGTTGAGGGTCTACTCAGCATACATGAGGAAACTCCATCCACTCCTGCTCTCTGTACTTATACTGCATCATACAGCAAGGATTACATGGCAACAGTTCATGCACTGTTGTTGTCTTGAATGGTTGGGTTTCATGAGCTTTATGGCAGCTCATGTTGATCATTTGGAAGCCCTAGTCTCCTATGCAAGGGATTTGAGGGAAATATTCAAGTCTGGCACAGAGTTCATTAGATTACTCTTTAGTGAGGACTTGAAGTTCATCTTTGGCGTTTATTCAGTAATGACCATGCCTCTCCCTTAATTTAATCCCCATTCTATGAATTTGTTTTCCATATGGAACTGTAACATTCTGCAATGTTCTGGAATGGTCTCATTTTCTTTTTTGCAGAACCACTTTTCACATAGGTATTCTGCATGAACACTTGTTTTTCAAATGTATATCTAACACATGAAATTTTAATGCAGAAAAAAAAATTGGGTAAACTATTGCTTGTAAGACATGTCAGATACGGGAATGGGAGTTGAGGCAGCATGAGGCTCAGAAGATGTGTTTGAGCCGATCTATAATGCATAAGCTTGCTTAATGGTTATTTCTAAAAATCTCACTGTATATTACATAAGCATTATAATGTCATGAGTTATTAATCCAATTATGCATGACAGCTGTTATGTGACATGAACATTGGGTATAAAGTATTTGATTGTCTTATGTTTTACCTGTAACATATAATATTTACATGGATGGGAAAATGTTATCCTGCATGCTGGTTAAAGATTAAGCAGACATGGCTTGTAAGCTAGGGCAGGTGGCAGAAGAAAACCCTTCAGGACCCTATTGGTACTTGAGGACAAAGCTGTTCTAGACAGAGTGTATTGAGGTCACATCATTTATTTCACCAGCCATTCAGCATTTTCTATGGTGCACATAGTTTTCTCTTCAGCACTCCCACTCTGCATTATTTTTGTTATATGTATATGTTTTTTCAGCTTCATATATGCTATCAAATATATAACATTTTTGTGTGTTAGTTTCTTATGGCCCTTTGTGACAATTAGTAACAAATGTATTTTTTATGATGAGGAGTTGTTAGCCCCATGCCAGACTCCCAAGAAGGAGGACCACCCCTTTTCAGCTGTCCATGACTGCTTATTCAATGTATTCACAGCTACCTTCCATATCTGGAGGCTGTCTCCTCTGTCTGCAACCTGAGGATGTGCCATGCCATGGTGACAAGGGAAAGAGGAACATAGACTGAGGGTGTTTGAGAACAGGGTGCTGAGGAGAATATTTGGTTGGAAGAGGGATGAAATGACAGGAGGTTGGAGAAAACTATGTAATGAGTAGCTTCATAACTTGTGCTCTTCATCGTCTCATCATCCTTGACTTGATCATTCTAATTATATAATTAGAATGATCAAGTCAAGGATGATGAGATGGGCAGGCAATGTAGTATGAATGGTGTAGAAGGGGAATGCATATAGGATATTGGTGGGAAAGCAGGAAGGAAAGAGATCACCAGGAAGACCAAGACATGTGGGTAGACAATATTAAAGTGGATCTTAGAGAGATAGGATGGGGTTGGTATGGGCTGGATTGATCTGGCTGAGGATAGGGAACAGTGGAGGTCTCTTGTGAACGTGTTAATGAACCTTTGGATTCCATAAAATTTTGTGAAGTTCATGAAAAGCTGTGTGACCGATGGCTTCACAAGAAGGGCTCAGCTCCATTTTTTTTAATTCGCTTAGTGGGGTGTGGAGTCCAACTTGTTCCACTCGGCACAGTGGCCACTGATTGGCCTATTATACCTGCCCCGGGTGATTATGATGATGGAGAATTTGGTGGAATGAATATTGGCAGGGGAAACCGAAGTACTCAGAGAAAACCCACCCCAGCACCACTTTGTCCACTACAAATCCCACTTGACCAGACCCAGGATCGAACCCGGGCTGCCGCAGTGGAAAGCCAGCGACTAACCGCTTGAGCTATGGCGCGGTCTAGCTCCATGAAATTAGTTTCATATGCCTTTTTACAGCAACATAACATTCATAAACCATTTGATAGAACAAAGTCTATCTTATTCAAAATCTGAGGTCTTCATATTTTTTAAGATTTATACTGTGGTTTCATGGGTTACAGCACCATTTATCTTGTAAGTGGGTGCTCTGAAGATGAAGGCAGTATATTCCTTTGAAATATTCATACCCACTTGCCAGACTACATGGTGTTGAAACCCAAAAGACCAAAATACAAGTCTGTGTTATGTCACTAACAATGTTGCCCTAACTATATTATTGGTATTTGTGGTTCTAAATGTATATTTTGTCTGCACAAGAAATTTATTTCTACAGGAACCACTGGGATACAGTCCCAGGGCAGTGACTCAGACTGGCACCCAAACAAGTCCTGAAAGTGTTGCTGCCAGTATGAAAGGCCATTTCAGCATCGGGGCTAGTGGAAACAAGGAAGAACGTCTGTCTCCAAAGCTGGGACGCAAAGATCGGGGTGGAACAGGCAGTAAGGGTCGCAGCAGCAAACGAGCCATGTCGCCTGCACCCATGCCACAACCCAGCTCCAGCCGTGATCGTACCCTCACTCTCATCAAGGAACCAGTGAAGGAAGCTGTAAGCCCATCTATTGCTGAGAGTTTGAGAGCCATATTTGCAGCATTTCTATGGCATGAAGGAGTTGTACATGATGCCATGGCATGTGCATCTTTCCTCAAGTTCCATCCCAGTTTGCCAAAACAAGGGGCTCTTGTTGTAACTCGCCAGCCTCTAGGAGGTGTTGGGAGTGGAGGAGCAGGAGATAAGAGGAGGTCTGAACTTACAAAAGAACAACGAGCACGCCAGAGGCACTCAGTTGAAGTGAGTACAGCAGGAAATTACCTCCATATTCAGCCATCAACCCTAGAAACCCTTACAAGATCAGCAGCAAATGCTAATGCAAACCGAAATAGAGCCAAGAAGCAGCATGCCGAGGCTGTGATTAAGGAAGAAAGTGGTGGTAGCAGCAGTGGTGGTGGTGATGGTGGTAGCACTGCTACAGTAACAGGAGATGTATCTGGCAAACTGTCTTCCCTTCCTGAAGCTTCTTTCCATACAGTGGCTGTACTGCCTCCAGCCCTTAAATCCCTGGTGTACTTATGGGAGGAGCTGACAACTAACTGCCTGCAAGCCATCATGCAGCAAGCTGTTCTGCCCAGTCCTACAATGCCAGCCAGACCTCCCAAAAAGCTGCTTAATGTGGATAAGATGGTTGGTGCCTTGGGCAGTAAGGGTTTGCAGGATGGCAAGGAGCAGCGGGGAGCTATCGAGAGGGAAATTAGCGGGAAGAAAGCGGGTCGCAAGAAGAAAGAATGGAAACCCATGGGACGGGCCAACCTACTAGGGGAAGTGGCTGGTGGTCTAGTAGGTGCTGCAGCAATGTTGGGAGCAGGAGTGGGGGGGATAGAAAGAGAAACAGTGTGTGAGTTGTGTGGGAACATGTACCCACACCCTGTCACGTATCACATGCGACAGGCTCATCCTGGTTGCGGAGGTCATGCAGGAGGAAAGGGCTACAATAGTGGGGGAAACTTTTGTGTTGGTTGGGCCGGGAACTGTGGGGATGGAGGTGTTGGAGGAAGTTCCTGGTATCTTGTGTGTGACACATGCCGAGAAAAATACCTTCGGTCCAAGAAGCAGAGTGGTGTGTCTGGTAAGGATAAGACTGGCGTCAGCAAGAAGGGCATGCTACCAAAAAAGAAGGCAGCTGGTCCTGCATCATCTTCAGCATCCAGGCTGCTCTCTCCTACTGCCAGTACATCTCCACTGGAGACACACATAATCATGAGAAATAACGCCATGTTTCTGCTTGATCTAGCCAGTGCTGGAGGTTCAGTCTTTCCTCCTCACCAACAGAGGCGGATCTCCATCAACAACATGCCATCAGTTTCAGAAAACTACAGTCCACCAGATCCTCCAGGACCCTTTTCGCCAGTAGGCCCATTTCAGTGTCTGCAGGCACTTGGTGTCCCCTTACAGCAGGTGCATGAAGACCAGCAGTTCATTGAGGAGACATTCAGGAGGCAGACAATGCAGCAGAGTCTGATGGAAGCAGCTTGCAATGGGAATGTTCATCTTGGTGGTCCATTGGGATCAAGGGTAGGTGTCCAGACTTGTATTTCATTCTTTAGTTTTGAGAGGCTTATGATCAGTGAGTCACATTAGAAAATGAGTTACTGTTCATGTACCTCGTCATATTTTTGCTTCAATTTACAACAGGTAGCACAAGTTCAGTGACAGTTTCATGGCAGGTATACAATAAAATCCTTTTCAGAATGTTTCACATAAAGCAACTGTCTCTGTAATGTGATAGTCATCTAACAAGTAAAGAGGCCGGTATGTAGTTAGGCAATGCTGTCCACTGCATTCATTCATTCATCAGTGATCTGTCAAGATGACAGGTCCACAATCTCTTCCGAAACAGTTCCTCCACTTGATGCGATCTAGAGCTTTCTCCTTCAAATGAAAATATCCTCTTCTGTCTCCAAGGTCATCCAGCATCTTCTTACATCTTCTTCTGGTCACTTCTCTCCGCCCCTCTATCTTTCCTTCAATAACTTCTTTTAGAAGGCAGTTACCACGTAAGATATGACAAATCCAATTAGCCTTCCATTTTCTTATGTCATGTAGGATATTCCTCTGCTCACTGACTCTAAATAACACTTCTTCATTTTTCACATAATCGGTGCAACTGATCTTCTCCATCCTTCTCCAACACCACATTTCGAAGCTTTCCACCACTGCATTAATAAAATTATATTTTTTTTTCTGTCTTGTTGGAAATGCACTTGTCTCAGTGCTTTACTGTCTTTTTGATACTGTTAGCAAAGAATAATTTGTCAGAACTCCTGAGTTATTTGAGGATCCAGTATTGTGAATGTCAGATTGTGTCCAGCTCTAAAGTTGGATATTCAACTTATCAGGAAATTTTCTGCCTGTATGGAATCTGAAGGTTCATCACTGTGTATGCAAAACACTGCATTGTATACTGTATAACATAGATTAATTAGCGATCACCACTTATTTATACTTGCCTACCTTCTGGTGCATGTAGACTGTTCTTTTAATTTGTGTGCCCTACCTGCTCTCACTGTTCATTGGCAGTTCTGCCCAGCAGTGTCTATCTCCCTGGAAGTACTCTCCTCAGATTTGTAGACATTTCTTACAATATTTATTGAATATCTATTAAAGACCTTTACATATTTTATTCTGAAGAGTGGTGACTATGGTGACATGAAGTGCAGTGTCCAAGGAATGTGTGTGACCTTTCAGCTCCCTGTTCAGCTTTAGGGAGAAGTGGAAATTACATGATGTGAGATCATGACAGTAGGGAATGTGGGATAACATTTCAGAACCATCTTTCACTGTAGTGTGTTGAACAGTTTTAGAAGCGTGCAGCATTACATTTTCATGGAGAAGGAAACACGTGTTCTTATATAATGCTGGCCTTTTTTTTATGGATATTGTAACACATTTTTAAACAGATGATTTCAGAATAGGTTTCATCATTTCAACAGTCTTCATTCATTATTTCTTCTGCTTAAGTAATCTGATTAGGGATGGTTAAGCTACTTGGCTATGCTGATCATATGTAATGTCCTTGAAAGCAGCAGCAGCATTTGAACTTCTCTTTGACATAGTACTTACTGATTAATATAATGTTACTTATTGTGCTTAAGTTTCCAGAATTAGTTTATGAAAGAACAAGGTAATCACTTACAAGGAATTCACAAAACACAATCTATGAAAAAAAGTGTAGTGCTCAATGAAATGGCCATAATGTCCTTAATCTGTATAAACATGCCCCTAGTTATTCAGTGAATTGACCTCTAGTGAAACTCTGATGACAGATGAGTGATTGGCAAGTAACATCTTCAGTTCACAAATTAAATGAACAGCCCTATTTTCAAACCAGCAGATGATCTCATCAGATAAAATTAAGACCTGTCACAACATTACATTTCATTTTCTTGCTTATATTGCTTTAAATTTGTGATAGCAATATTTGGTTGAAATTGTGTAGTTATTTTTCTTACAAGCGTAAATTGAAACACTGAATTTTTTAGCATTTAATGTATGCTTTATATATTCACTACTGAACTTTAAAGTATTCTATTTACATATTTTATTCTGTTGTATCATAGCAGTTCATAGTGTCCCTGGCATGCTGTGTCTCCTTTGTTGTGTTAATTGTACCATGCATTACAACTTGTGTATATGCTAGTGTTTCAGTATGCAGCATTATCTAAACCTGCACTCAGTCAAAAGTCTGTGCATCTGAAGCATCAACAGTGTTAATCAAGTTACGTTATAATAAAGAGTGCAATGAACTGAAAGAATAAAATTAATGCCACGAGGATGCACAGGAGTACAAAGACACAGCAGTTTAACTGAATCTGTAATAGGGGATCTTCCTTGAGTAGCTGATAGATGCCTCGTCAGTCTGTTCCAGGGCCACACCATAGTTCAAGCGGTTAGTCACTGGCTTCCCACCGCAGCAGTCTGGGTTCGATTCCAGGTCTGGTCAAGTGGGATTTGTGGTGCACAAAGTGGTGCTGGGGCAGGTTTTGTCCGAATACTTCTGTTTCCCCTGCCAATCTTCATTCCACCAGTTGCTCCACAATCACCCTCACCTATCATCTGAGGCTGGTACAATAGGCCAGAAACGGCCGCAGTACAAGGGAATTAGTCCCAACCTACTAGCAGTAAAAATAATAAAAAAATAGTCTGTTCTAGTTTATTTTCTTCTCATTATTCTTTATTTATTTTTTTAAAGGACCACAGCTGTTCATTACTATGTTCTTAAAGGCTTGGCATTGGAATTCATCATGAATCAGTTGAATTCAGTCCATACTTTCATTCTTTGTTTTTGAAGACTGCCTGTGTTCTGTAGGTAACCATAGTGGCCTCTTTTCTCTAAGATTTCCAGCCATAATTTATCTGTATTTTTTGTTGCATCCATGCATGCTACATAACCTGCCAAACTCATCTGCCTTGATTTAATCACTCTAATTATACTTGATAAAAAATACAAAGTATAGAACTCCTTGTAGGATTTGAGGTTCTCACAGCCATGGTTATGAACAGGAACCTAATTGCTGTCTTCCATTTCCCCCCTGTTTCATATAGAATCTGAAATTCTGGCAAGCTGATTGCTGTGCTTGCCACCTGCTTTCATGCTGGTTTTTGCTCGTCCTGTTGTTCTACCCTGAAGGTGGAAGCACAACATCAGTTGACTTTCAATGGAATACGCAGCATTATATCCCAGGAGATAGAACTCTTTATAGAATTCCTCACCGTGCAGTTTTCTCTGTCCTTCTTTAACTTTCCATTTCTTAAGTTCAAATATTCTCTCCAGTTCTTCGTTCGTAGACACTTTCAATTTCCATTCTTTCCATAGAGTGAGAGATTAAGTTTTACATCCATGTACAAATAATAAAATGAAGATAAATTTATAATTTCATTTTTCTTAAGCTTTTGATTTTTGGTTATGCGATGTAAAAGTAAAAGATTCTGAACAGAACGGTAGCAAGCATTTCTGAAATATTATGTGCTCTGTCATGTCTTCTCATGGCTCTCATAACTTTTATAAATATTTTGTAAAATAATATTGTTTCATTTTATTGACATTTATTGTGTTCTTAATACTAAAAGCAAATGATCAGATGTCAGTTCTGAATATGCTGGGGATTTAGTTTCCAAAACAATATTTCTTTCAAGAGTGAAGTGGGCAATGTTGGCACAGCATAAATTGTTGCCAGGTTGCAGCAATGCATGTTGTATTACTAAGTTCAAATAGGTGTAATCTCACAATATTTCAACTTTGTAGCTCTGTCTCCAAGTGCATGACAAACTACCAATCATCTGCCATCTCATATGATGGTTTACAATCTATTTTGCTAAGTTTCAGTTTAGTATTATTAATTCATGTATGCTTGTATCTCTGAAGCAGCATCTTTCTGCAAGATTTTCCTGTCATTAGCACAAGGTGGTTCAAATATGACCGGGACTGATTTGTGTGTAAACAAGCCGCACTGCACAGCAGCTGTGCGACCATGAGAGAGTGGAGCCACAACCTCCACCCTCCCTCCTGTTAGGGTTAGAACCTGTTCAGTCCTGTCTGGGAGCTGCTAGAGTGATGAGTGAACAGACGGTACTGTGGAGCATGGAACAACGCATTGTGATGAAATTCCTCTTTGGAGAAAATGTCCCGTCCGCTGAAATTCACCACAGACTCCAACAACAGTATGGGGAAGAGTGACTCACGGACCCATGTGTTTGAGTGGTGTAAGTGCTTCAGAGAGGGCAGAGAGCGCGTGGAGAATGAACCGCATGATCGTCGGCCGCAAACATCCCTCACCGAGCCAAACATTGATCATGCAGACATGCTTATTCATGAGAATAGGAGCATCACTATCAAGGAACTTTGAGCAATGCTGTCCATCAGTGTTGGTAGTGTAGAAGACATCATGAAATACCACCTGCACTATCGCAAGGTGAATGTATGGTGGGTACCACGCACTTTGAAGGACGTGAACAAAATGGTGTGCGTGCAAGCTGCCAATCGTCTCCTACAGCAGTTTGAAGATGAAGGTGATGCATTTTTGAAGTCTATAGTGACCACCGATGAAACGTGGGTGCACTACTCCATTCCCGAGTCCCAGCAGTCATCACGCGAGTGGCAGCATACCAGTTCTCCCAAACCCAAGAGAGCGTGGAGGAGCTGTTCAGCAGGAAAAGTGATGGCAACATTCTTCTGGGACTGGTAGGAGGTTATCTATGTCGACGTTCTGACAGATGCCAGAACAGTCAATGCAGCTTATTACCCAGACCTCCTGGCAAGAGACGTGAAGGAAAAGATCCAATCCAAGATGAAGAGAGGTGGAAAGCGGGTAGCCTTCCTTCAAGACAATGCACGCCCCCATATGGCCAAACAACAATGGAAACCCTCTGGAAATTGAAATGGAACCTTCTGACACATCCACTATACAGTCCCGATTTGGCTCCAAGTGATTTCTACCTGTTTGGAAGGCTCAAATCAGACTTGCAAGTCATGCAGTTTGTGGACAATGATGCCGTCATCCAGACTGTTCGGGAGTGGATACACCACCAACCACAAGCCTTTTCTGAAAAGGGCATCAGGTTGCTTCAAGAACGTTGGAAAAAATGTGTTGACTCTGGAGGGGAATACATTGAAGACTGATATGTGCAAGTAAGTGTTTGGCAATTATGGTTTAAAAAAAATCAGTCCAGGTCATATTTAAACCACCTTGTACTTAAACAATTTTAGTTTTCACCAATAAAATGTAATGAATCAAACAATGTAAATAATTTGTGTAATGAGTTTTGACACTCTTGTTATCTGTTCAGCCAATGTCAGAGGGCCCTCTGAGTGATAATGAGAGTGAAGGAAGCAGAGGACGCACATTTCATCGTTCCATCTCAATGGGCACTAATGGTGCTCCATGGAGCAGAAGAGAGGGTGATGGACGTGTCATCATGATGCGAAAACGGAACAACAGCAGTGGTGAAATGGCCAGTGGTAAGCCACTTTCTGCTTTCTGTGAAGGTATTGTTTCATGTTATTGTGAAGCCACAACTTAGTCCGGGAGTACTGGGATTTTTGGACTTAATCAATTGTTCCGTATTCTAAAGAACACGTCCATAATGTGTATGTATTGACCATCTTCTAGTGCACACAATCTCATATGTCACCTCACTACATGTTTCGGCATCACTGTTCCGTCCTCAGGTGTGTTATTTACGTTAAAATCATTTTATAAACGACACATGATGACGAGCAGTGCAGTAGTTTAATGTAAATAACACACCTGAGGATGGCACAGTGCTGCCGAAACATGTAGTGAAGTGACAGGTGAGATTGTGTGCACTAGAAGACGGTCAATACATACATATCATGGACAAGAATCAGTGCAACAGGACGCTAAAATACAACATTCTAAAGAACACAACATGTCACAAACTGGACCTGTTTCCAGCCTCAGATGGGGGATGGAGACATGTACTCTGTTGGGCTCATTAGAAAGAGCTGACTTCAGTTACTGGACCCAGTGAACCCTGAGTCCAGTGATTAAATAAATTATTAAATGAACATGAAGACCATATTCATTACAAATTTACAAAGAGAACATTTGGAAAATAGGGTCTGTTTGGATAATTTTTGTTATTTAGTTATTTCAAGAATACTTCCTTCACAGTTTTAAAATTTGCTTAGTGGGGGGTGGAGTCCAACTGGGTCCACTCAGCACGGTGGCTACTGAGTGGCCTATTGTAGCCTGCCTCGTGTGATGGAGAATTTGGTGGAATGAAGATTGGCAAGGGAGACCGAAGTACTTGGATAAAACCCACATCAGCGCCACTTTGTCCAACACAAATCCCACTTGACCAGACTTGGGATCGAACCCAGGCCACCGCTGTGGGAAGCCAGTGACTAACAACTTGAGCTATGGCGCGGCCATTCACAGTTTTGAATTTATGGTGGTTCTGTGTCATGTTGCAGATGGAGGCTCTTCACTTCTCTGTTATCCATCAGCTGCTCTTCAGAAATTAGTTCCTTGTATGGATCAGTCTGCTATTGTGTCAGAACAATTTAAAGGCTGCATGTTGGACATTCTGAATCGCCCAGTCATGAGTTTCCTGTTGCAGCAGCATAACTTAGAAGCTTTACAGCTGGCCATGAGACAAGCATTGCGGAAGGCTGCATGTCGAGTTTATGCACTCCAGGTAAAAATATTTGAGAACTCTTACATGACAATGAGTGAACAGTGTTTGGTTTTCGTTTACTGTTGCTATTTTGTGTGTTCATAATATATATATATACATACATACATGAAGTATTATAATTAATGTATATACGTAGTCAGTCAAAAAGTTCCCGGAATTCCCATGCAGACAGAGAACGAGCGGTAAAATAGCGGACACACTGTTGTGTTGGGGAGCTCAGCATGTCTGCCCGCAGGCGCAACAGGTTTGGACAGGTTTCAGTGTGCAGTGTCATTACTGTTCCATTTGAATTAGAAGTGAGTGTTGGTCAATCGGCGCAATGTCACATTTCGAACAGCATTCGAACATCAAGTTCATGTGCAAATTGGGAAAATCTGCTTCAGAGATGCAATTGGCCCTGCAGCAAGTTCACAGTGATACTGCACTAAAAAAATCAGCAGTTTATGACTGGATTTCTCGGTTTAAGAATGGGCTGGAGACATTAGAGGATGACCAGTGCAGCAGGAAACCTTTGACATCCAGAACTGAAGAAATGATTGGAAAAGTGCGACAACTGATTTGATGTGATCGAAGAATGACCATCGCGGAGTTGGAGCAGGAAGTTGGTAACTCTCACGGATCCATTCATGCCATTTTGTCCAATGATTTGAAGATGAGATGCGTCAGTGCAAAGTTTATTCCAAGGCAGCTGACCACAATCAGATGGAATGTCGCATGATGGTCGCTGGCGATCTATTTGACAAAAGTATGCAGGACCCGACGTTTCTCAAAAGAATTGCCACTGGTGATGAGTCATTGGTGTTCGCCTACAACCCGGAGATGAAGATGCAGTCATCGGAGTGGCACACAGCGTCATCTCCATGGCCAAAAAATTATGCCCTGTCAGATCCAAAGACAAAGTGATGCTCATTGCATTCTTTGACATCAACAGTTTGGTGCACTGTGAATTCGTACCGACTGGACAGCCTATTACTGGCCATTTCTGTGTGCAAGTTTTTGCAGAGGTTGCACAATGCTGTTCGTAGGAAGCAGCGCGACAAATGGCAGGGACAGTGGTTTTTGCATCACGATAACACACCAAGCCACACATCGCTTGTTGTGCAGCAATTCCTCACCAAGAAAAACGTTCCTGTCATCACTCAATCACCATACTCTTCGTATCTCGCTCCGAGTGACTTTTGGCTGTTCCTTACTCTGAAAATGGGCCTCAAGGGGACATGTTTCGCAACAATGGAGGACATCAAATCGAATGCGACAGCTGAGCTCTGGAAGATTCCAAAAGAAGCCTTCACCACTGCTTCCAACAGTGGCAGGATCGATGGAGCAAGTGTGTGTGCGCGCGCAAGAGTCCTACTTTGAAGGTGATAAGGTAAGCGTTGCCATATGTCCTACCATTAGAGTGCTATAACACCATTCCGGGAACTTTTTGACTGCCCCTTGTATCATGAAATGCAAGTTCATGAAGAGTTGGAAGATGTGCATATAGATCCCTGTTTAATAAAAGCATTCTATGTGCTCTGATATAAAAAGAAAAACTTTATATAACAAAACTACTGAACTCATACACCATGTGTCAAATCATGTGCAAATTGTGTACAATTTAATTAATCCATGGGTTATGCATTATGACAGCAACATCATTAATACGTACAAGCTTTCACATCATCTCTTAATTTCAAGTATTTGAAGGAATGGAATAACATTTTCAGTTGTGATATATTTCCAGTGGGATTACCTTGATAGTTGCTGTAAAGATAGTCAGAGTAGTAGTTCTTAGCACAGAAATATCAAGATATCCAGGTTTTAAAATGTAATTATATATCTCAACAGTCATCACAATATTTTGTAAATATAATCCTGGAACATCTGAGCAAAGTATATTTTGTGTTTCATATTTAATTTACTATTTTGTTCCTGTTTGTAAGATTAGTACATGTGTGTACGCTTCTTATATCTGGACATTTCAGAAACAGATATTTGTTTCTGGCAGGGATATGTATGACATATTTAAAAATGTCATTAGTAGCTAAGACTATATAGCATTGAATGGTAGGATGGTTAATGAATCATAAATTTGAAAGAATGTGAAAGGAAATCATCATAGCCTATATCAAGGTATTGTCGTGGTACTTTCTGGGGGGATATAGGAAAACTAAAAAATTTCAGGCATGTTAGTTGATGTTCTGGGTAAGATTTGAATTAGAATCCTTCCAAATTCCAGTCAGAAACATTATTGTCTCAGCTAACTTGCTTGTTTTCTGGCAGAGAGAGATCATCATCATCAGTAATCTGTCAGACGACAGGTCCACAGTCTCTTCCAAAACAATTCCTCCACTTAATGCGATCTAGAGCTTTCTCCTTCAAATGACAGTATCCTCTTCTGTCCCCAAGGTCATCCAGCATCTTCTTACGTCTTCTTCCTC